GTATATGTTTGAAATCAATTTCGTTTTTATCAAGTCTTTCAAATGTATTCCCTCCTTGCTGTCAGCTGATTGCGACGTTGCCACATTAATCCTCAAGTCAGACAGAAATGCAATTATTGGTTTCTGTTTCTAATTAATACAGCTGTACTATGTTCAAAACTTACATTAGTTTTACATCCTTAACAGATTGAATATTAAAGGTAAAATTCACTGATAGCCTCAGAATCCGACGCCACTGAGTACTGTAAAAATTGGATAACGGAATTTTAAAACAGTAAATGAAGTTAGAAGTCAAACGTAACAATTATATCAAGCAAGATCAAATTCGAAAAGAAGTCCAATAATTCATACACAAAATCATCGTATTTAAACCACTACAAAACACACATTCACGGATTTCTTACTCCACCTTCCCTTTTTTTGCACAATCAGAGGCGGTTCTACCACCCCGTGGTCGGCCTATGGATGCAAAGGTAACTCTTACCTCGCCGACACACCTTTCTTGACATTTCATAGTCGCCCAGACGTTTTTTGAACGTCTTTTAGTCCCTTAACCCTGAAAACGCCGCTGGCCCTTAACCTGCTACATTTGGTGGCCGGTTGGGCATTTTATAAAAGGGAATTCCCAAATTGTCAAAATGCCAGATGGCAGAGACCTGCGCCTTTTTTTCTTTTACAGTCAGGAACAAGTGACAGTGCCATGAGCAGGTGTGAACGCGGATTGAAAGTTAAGTTTATTAAGCGCATGAAGATGCGATCGCGAGTGAAATAATGAAAAAGTTAAAAGTTATGTTTTTGTGTATTAACTGTTCCGATGATGTGCTTTATGTGCAACGATTAACACTTGATTTTGTTTTGGAACGACTGAAGATTACACTAAGTATATAAGGCATAAACCGTATTACAATGAAAAAGTCAAAAAGTATGTTGATTTCATTTTACATGAATACATTTCATAGTTTATCTAGTTTTTAAGTTGCATACTTTGAATGAGTACAAAATTTGGGTGGTTAAACGTCATTTAACAAACAATAAACTAAAATTTATGTCGGTTGTGGAGATTCCATTCGATAAATGTCATTTTTCGACCCGCAAACAAAATTTCTGTCCATTAGGACCTTAATAACAGTAACTCATGACATAATAATATATTATCTACTGTCAGTGCTATGTTAGTAAAATTAACACTCATATTTCTCCTGAAAAAAAAAAGCATTTGGTTACACAGCCACACAAAAAAAAAAGTTGTCTGTACTATACTTTTCATGCGTCATATGTTATCCGTAGTATATTTGCCTCCTGATCACGAATCCGGTGTCAGAGTTGAGCTATCACATCACAGGAATTTCCTAACCTCAAAAAACTAGTAACAAATAGCAAAAATTGATGAAAAAGTGCTAGGAAAAATATATTTTTTTTCTATATTAAAATGTTCATTTATATAGTTAAGACCCCGCCCAACGTGAATCCGCGGTCAGAATTAATGGTTCTTTTTCTAACCTCAAAAAAAAAAGGGTCAATTAAGGTCAGATATTACGAATTTTCAAACAATACAGATTCGCGCCAAATTTGGGATACGGGGGTTTTCTGGGTCGCTGATCATGGATCCGATGTCAATTTTCCAAAATTCAAGATGGCGGATCCAAGATGGCCGATCAAATTTTCAAAAAATAACAGAATCGCAGCAAATTTGGTATACGGGGGGGTTTTCGGGATCGCTGACTACAGATCCGAGGTCAATTTTACAAAATTCAAGATGGCGGATCCAAAATGGCCGACTAAATTCTCAAATAATAACAGAATCGCAGCAAATTTGGTATACGGGGGTTTTCGGGGTCGCTGATTACGTATTCGAGGTCACAATTGCAAAATTCATTTTGTAATATTTTACTTTATAACCTGAGTACCCAATCATGTGTTAACCTACTTTTTTCGGCTATATATTGTTCTTTTTTCTGTAAAAGATCTATTCACGGGTTGAATTTTGTAAATCTGATCTCGGATTCGTGATCAGTGACCTCGAAAATCCCAGTATACCAAATTTGGCGCGAATGTGTTATTTTTTGAAAATTTGGTCGGCCATCTTGTAACTGCCATCTTGAATTTTGCAAAATTGACCTTGGATCTATGATCAGTAACCCCAAAAACTCCTGTATACCAAATTAGGCGCGAATTTGTTATTTTTTTAAAATTCATGATATCTGACCTCAATTGACCAGTTTTTTTGAGGTTAGAAAAAGAACCATCAATTCTGACCACTAATTCGGCGGGATCTGAACTATCTAAATGAACATTTGAATATAGAAAAAAAAATCTATTTTTTCTAGCACTTTTTCGTGAATTTTTGCTATTTTTGACCTGTTTTTTGAGGTTAGGAAATTCCTGTGATGTGATCAGGAGGCAAAAATACTACGGATGACATATGTCGCATGAAAAGTACAGACTACGTTTCTTTTTTTGTGTGGCTGTGTTATTTAACGTATCTGACTGTTCTGTACAGGGTGATTCACAAACGGTGACCATAAATGAAATCTCATATTCTTTGGTGAATTTTAAGTCTTTCGTATAAAGTTTTTATCTAGGAAGCTTCGCTAAAAAGATACAGGGTGTTAAACTTTTAAATTAGTGTGTGTTAAATTTTTTTTAATAATTTAAAAACTAGTAAGTGAAATAATTTGAAATTGGGCACATGTATGTATATAAACATTGCCCAAATTCTTATTCCTTTTCCTAAAATTTAGATGCTCCAGGGTATCGGTGGTGTATTTTTCTAAATAAAATAATATGCCACTGCTTTACGGTAACAATCATGATATTTTCGGATTCGTCTTTCAATTTTCTACAAATTACTAATCTCTTATGTTTTTCGAAAAAGGCCTGATTTTTAAAATCAGTAAAACTTAAAAAACCAACTGAAAATACACTTCGATATTTGAATAAAATGCGGTTTAAAATTACATGGTAGGCAGCGATAGCAATTTTGACATTCTGAGCAGTTAGAAGAAATAATAATCAAGCAACAATAAATTTCGAATAATTACATTTTCGTTACTAAAAAGATCAGGCTTTTAAAATATATAAAAAAATTAAAAACATTTTTAACACCCTGTATCTTTTTAACGAAGCGTTCTAGATAAAAACTTTATAGGAAAGACTCCCTTTAAAATTCACCAAAGAATACGAGGTTTCATTTTTGGTCACAATTTGTGAATCACCCTGTATAATGCGATTAATTATTAACCGAAATAAATTCAGATTTTTTGAATGATTGTTTACTTAACTGCACTCATTTTGTTCCTCTTAAACCTCTTGTCCCTCTGATTTATTGACATTTTAGAGGACGTCGCTGCTATTTTTTGCTTATATTCCCGCAATTTCAATTTTAAAATATTCAACGACAGGAAAAGCACAAAATGAATTCAAGTACCTCGTTTGCGCGAGTAAAACGTGAAATGTCTGCAAATTTATGCTGCAGAGAATAATTTAATGATAATTTGCCTCATGATTGTGAAGATTCTAAAAAAAATGTAGGTAGACTTGGCTTCGTTTATTTGGTTATTCCTTAATTACAAAAGGGGAATTTTGACTGTTTTTTTTTTATTTATCTAAACCTACGTATGTTTCTTGTTAGCCTAACTGATTTTTCTGTTTTCTCTTTGTTCCAGTAGCGTCGAACGGCACTAAGGGTGCCATGAAGGAGAAAAGCAAGAACGCCGCGAGAAGTCGGAGGGAAAAAGAAAACGCGGAATTTCTAGAACTCGCGAAGTTACTGCCATTGCCGGACGCCATCACGACGCAATTAGACAAAGCCTCGGTGATCCGACTGACCACGTCTTATTTGAAGATGAGGCAAGTGTTCCCGGATGGTAAGTAAAGGAATATAGACTACTATTTTGTTAAGATAGAAATCCAAGAAAGGAATACGCCAATAAAGTTCTGTTATCCGAATTACTGTAACAATTTACAAGGGCGTGCCTTGAAATTTTCCGCCAATGTGTTTCTACCTTGACGGGTGTCGAACGCGGTTAATACCAAGAAAGTAACGCAGGCGTCTTCTATCTCGACAAATATCGTACGGACTACTATTCTATTATTAACTAATAACTAATTGACTTATATAAGCCTATCCTTTCATTTTTTGCAATCTTTTGTTTTTTTTTTATAAAAGTAGATATTAAATTTTCGAACAATTTTTTTTTAATTAGTTGATTCCTAATAAAAACTTGGAATAGGAATCTGCCTGCCCTTAAAATTTTCCCGTTTATTGAAAACATTCAAAACAAAAAATATGTGTCAAAAGAACAAATAAAATAATATTACATTAAATAATTAAATAATTCTCTCCGATTTCAATTAACCAATTTCCTTTTTCTATACATTTTCAACTCTCTTCTTACCTACCAAGCCTTTTCTTAATCGTGATCCAGGAATAAAAGTCCATAGGTGTCAGGTCTGGAGATCCTGAACACCATCCTGAGCTGAACCTCTAAGGGCTATCTGTTTTTATAAATACCTTAAAATCCAGAAAAGATAGGTATAGGGAAAATTATTCATTAGGTTGCGCAAAAATATACAGGGTGTGCCATTTAAAAACATAAGTTAAGATGGTTTAAAGTTGACTAAATTCGGCATTAAATTTCTACCACCCTATATGAAATTAAGCTATTTTGAAATTGTTGCAGGTAAGCTTAGAGTTTTAGTTATGTCCCCTATAAATTTTTTTGCCCTAACTTTATTATTGTAAAAAACACATCTTTTTAAATTAGGAAGTGCTTTTTTAATTTTTTTTTGAAAAAAAATTAAATATATCAAAAAACCGTTAACTTTAAAAATAGGAAACCTTTATGAAAGTTCACCTAAAAATTGACGTAGAATTCAAAATTGCAATAATATACAGGGTGTTCCATTTGAAATAACAAAGACGACGTCAATTTCCGGTATAACTGGAAGCGTTAGGTAGCATTATTTTAGTTGAGAAGGCCCAAAAACACTCTTGCCCCAATTTTCAAAATTAAAATCGAAGTAGTATCTGAAATATGTCTAATGTCTCGACACCATGGGACACTCTGTATAAGTATATAAGTCGGCATTGATTTATTAAATTTGGTTTTTCATTCCACTAATTCGAATAGGTTGAGATAAATCAATAACAAAAATAATGCATTTAAAATTTTCGGTCACACTTTTTTCGATTTTTTAATTTACAGCAAAGTTCTGATACTTAACACATTTTTTCAACCAGCTTTCCAATATCATTTTAGCGGTGGGAATAGAGAGATAATATTTTTGTATGTCAGTTCGATGTTAATAAGATCAAGGAAAAGTAACGGCAGGTTCAAAATTACTCTCTTCATCTACAATTTAAGTTTCGGTTCAAAACATTACGAAAATTACAGTAACATTAACAATGTTTCCGACTTATAATTTGTTTAAATATCATAATATTGCAAGATTTCGTTACATATTTCTATAGGAGATATGTTGTCCTATAGGTACGTTAAAACCCTCTTTGAACAAAGCCACATTAATAAAACATTTTTATATTTCATATCTAGATGGAAACACGGATAAACATCTAAGAACTAGGGTCTCATATGTATCAAAAGTACCAATTAATTCATCTTTTGTCACCTAATGAATGCTTCAGAATATTGTAAACCAAATTAAAACTGTCAACAGTGAAATTTTCAACAATGTAACCGTGATGTCTATTTTGATTTGTATGGTACCTCTATGGCCTGTAGGAAGTGGACAGAGATTTATACAGCAGATACATACAATCTTGTGGAATTTTATTCTATAATCAGGTCTTGTGTAAATTTTTAATTTGTACTGAAATAAAATTATAAACGACCCTATAGTTTCAAAATGCGTACTAATAATAATAATAGATATAATTTTTAGTTCATTGCAAACGTGTTTCCAAATTTGTTTCGCTTGTATAATTAAAATTATCATCAATTATAAAATTCAGTAGTTTCAAATATAAAATAAATATGCTACTGTTGACTCTGTCACAATACTGTAGGACAGAAGTTAATCCAAAATAGAATTTCAATCCGGCTCGACCAATAGTCTCACATCAGCTCGTGCTTGATCATTGTTTATACGATTGGAATATGCAAGTTGACTTTAGACTTAATGCATGTTAACTGAGTGGTCGACGGACAAAAAACAATCGACTGATGTTAATTCGGAGAAACAAAAATAGTCGAATACATAACGCAAGTCTGATTTTATAATAAAATTTAAAGTAGCACTTAGAACCCTTGTCTGGTATAAGTGTATAGCCCTATAAAGGTATTTATTTCAGTATTTACCTAATAACGGTACCTATAGTTTGTCTTTTCAACGTTTAATTTTTGTGTCATTTACAACAAAATTTGAGAAAACAAAATTATAATGTGTTTCTAAAGATCAACGGTATCCTCTGTATAAATATGTATGATCCTTATTCAAGTTACTTCCTGTATAGCAAATGTGATATTTGTTACAGGATTGGGCGACGCCTGGGGTGCTACCCCAGTTACCCCTAATCACAGAGAAGCCTCCATCAAAGAGCTGGGCTCGTACCTTTTGCAAACTTTGGACGGGTTCATCTTCGTGGTAGCCCCAGATGGAAAAATCATGTACATATCGGAAACAGCATCCGTACACCTTGGATTGTCGCAGGTAAATTAAAGTACATAGGTATTGTATTTTTGAAACCGAGTGAGTTGCGCGAAACTAAATCTGTACAGGACATAGCTAGTACCATGCGAAACATCGCCATAATTTTAAAAATGTTGTCATCGCCGTTCTTGGGGGTGAAAATTCGAAATATTTAGAATGATTCAAATTTCGTGGCTGATCTTCTGTCTTAGGCCAAGCAAATAAAATTTTTACTCGAAAAAAGTCCTATCCGCGAGATTATTGTAAAATTGTCTAAAGGAACATAATACAAGACATCTTTCATCTCGTGAGTCAAAAAATTTTATTAGCTAATTTTTCTATTTAAACAAATAACTGAGGAAAACAGTTCTTTTACTTTGCTGGGAAAACCATCAATTTTAGCGAAAAGTGACTCACAGACAGCTTATAGGGAGTAAAATTATCTACAAAATGAGACTGGTTAAATTAAAATCGGTTAATAAACAAAAAAGTTATTGCAAAAAAACAAGAAAAGTGCCCATTTTTTAATTTGTTTATAACTATCGCATTTATTGTTAAAATTTTATAAAACCTATGACAAGTTGAGGGTTTTGTCATACTTTAAAAGTGTGCCAAAAGTGGGCGCTGTAGGTGCAATAGTTTTCGCACAATTCTATTTGTTTATAGCGGAGGCTCCAAAAGTTATGAACTTTAAGCCTCTGTACAGGCGTTAATTTTCAACCAAACATGATTCTGAAAGCGTCATTGTAATCTTAAAGACGTAATTAAGCGACCTATTAAAAAAAATCTCCGTTTTTTTGACAATAACATTCTAAAATTGTGCATTAAAAAACCGTGCGTTTTTCGCTTATAAACAATTTGAATAAAATTATTGCTATTTATGCTACCTTAGTGAAAATAGATTCAATGGATAGCTGGCAAAAAATACAATACAAAAGTAAAAAATATAAAATTTTCCACTCATATTAAGTCGAAAATGAATTAATTTATGTAAATTTGGTTAGTACCTTGTTTTAATAAAATATTTTTTTGTCTTTAGATTGGGAAAATTCTACTTTCTTAGATTTCTGTAGATGGCAAAGCACACAAAATCTAAATTTATAATAGACGTTACGCCCTGCAGCTATTTTTTTAATATCTACATGGTGGTTTTTAAAGGAATTATCACAATTATGTCAAATACTGACCACAGAAAATTGTTTTTTATGTACATATAACATTGTTGTTTTGTTTTCCAAGAAGAATAGAACAAAAGAGTGAGAGTTTTGTTTTATACCGACGTATATTTACGATTTATGTTTATGAGGTGTTATTACAGAAAATGCGATAACAATAAGATAGAGATTAGCTGTGACACTGTGACATTTACTTCGACTTGTGAGGTGTTGAATAATTACAATAAAACGGCAATAAAACGAGGTTATATGCGCTTATGGGTAAAACGGTTTAAATATGAATAAACGTACATATGCAAAAAATCTTACATATAAAGCTTCAAGGAACTAATGACATATTTAAACACCTAGATATATACACTGAGAAAACGTTTTTATGCCAAAAACGTCGATTTATTCAAGTTTTCAAAAAATTATTCATAACCAGGATGGTGCCACGCACAACCCTTAACATATCTTCATAATGTGACAGAAAGGATAAACACTATTCTCAACACAAACACAGGGACAGATATAAATTGTAAAATAGCAGAATAGAAGGTATTTTTTATATACAATTATTCTAAAATAAACTTTTTACATTTGCCACAACTTTCTCACTCACAATATGGTTTTTTTCGTGCAGTTCTCACAAGTGATCAATTCACCATTGACTTTCTATTGTTTTCAGGTAGAATTGACAGGAAACAGCATCTACGAGTACATTCACCCAGCCGATCACGACGAGATGACGGCCGTGCTCACCCCCACCATGTTCCCCCCAGGTGTCAGTCCCCCCCACGACCACGAGAGCGAGAGGGCGTTTTTTCTGAGGATGAAGTGCGTTCTCGCGAAACGAAACGCCGGACTGACGAACAGCGGGTACAAGGTACGATTTTCGTCACTTAAAATGTATTTTCGAAGAAAATCAGTCGTATTTGTTTACGTCGCGATTAAATAATTTTTTAAATAGCAACAAATATTAAAAAGTGGAAAGTTTGATAGAGTAAATCAAATAAAAAATGAGTAATACATAGGAAATGAGGTAATATTAAATTATTATTAAATATAAAAGACATTTTTTTACATTTTTTGACAACTTTTGGGACACAGTATATAAAATTAACACAAGAAAACTGAATATACAGCTTTGTTCTACAGAAAAAAAAACTTTATAGGGAACTTATGACGTTACTGTTTGTAGCAAAGGATATACGAGTCAGCCTAACATCGAAAAAAAAGTACGAGACACTTAAATTAGTTTTTTTTCTATTTTACATTGACTATTTTGTATCTTGCAAACCACGCAAAATATGCCACCCCGTATATCGCTAATATTGAGTAAGAACTTTTAGAAGATTGCATGGTAAAAGGCTTGTAAATTAGTCATCATAGAGAACTAAGGTAATTGGATCACACAGGACACTAGAAATATCCTTAATCAAGCTGGAATATGCATGGTGTGTATGCACCTATGCATATTCACATACAAGTGCATTAAATATGCATACATGCAGTTATATGTGCAGAAAAATCCTGCAAGTTAATTACAAAGACATAATGGGCAATTTGGTAGAGTATGAATGGTTGTCGGTAGCTGTAGTGCCACTCAAAGTCCTTTAGTCTGAGCTGATTTGAATTTTGATATATCCTTGCCAATTTTTTATTTAAATATCGCACGCAAGGGATTATTTGCAATATTTTGAAATGTAGTTTATGAGAAATAAGATCCCATTTCAAAAACCAACAACAAACCCTTTTCTTCAAATTTGGCAACTAATTTTTTCAGTCGCTTTGAACAATTAAAGTGAAAGAAAAACACCTGTAGTCTAAAAATCTAAAACTACATACTAATTATTTGATATTAAAGTGTCATCATTTTATTATTAGTTAATGAAAAAACTGACACTTTGAAGTGAATTCAACAATGTTATTCTTTTCTGTACAAGGTACATAAGAAAAGACCCTACACAAGGCCATTTATATTTTGATTTCCGCAGGGCCAGTTTCGAACTATTGTGCAGTCACGATTGGACGTTGCTAGGCATATATTAAATTAATCTACAAATTTTGTAATTCAGAACCTTTTCAATAATCTACCACTGGCTACAGGACCCCAACTGTACGTAATTAACATTTAAAAAATGTAAATTTGAAATCAGTTTTCAAGAAAAACTAAATCAATACTGATAAACTATGTTACAGACATATATTGACATGACTAATTGAAAAATGTCTAACGAAATTATTCTTTCATTATATTTATCTGCAAAGAATGAATCTTATCCGCATTATTCTGTTATCTGTTTAAGTCTTTTTGAAATTACTGCAGTAACAGATATCAGTTTGTACAAAATCGTCGCTTCTATCCGATAAACTTCATCAATCTTTAGGGGTTTCCCAAGGATCAATTCCGAGGCCATTCCTGTTTGTTATTTTTATGAATGATCTAACTGAATGCTTTAATGTCAGTAATGTCAGTTACTTACTCCATGTGAATTTTAGCAAATTGAATAGTTGGTGTTCAATTAATAATCTACCTCTGAATGTAGGCAAATGTAAAATTATGTCAGATAAAAACTACTCTAGATTTGGTTATACAATTGGTAAATAATTAGATTTGATGATATATTTGACGTTAAATTATCGTTAGATGAACATATTCGTTCTGCTTTTAAAAATATATGCTTTATTTGCACAATTCTCTATTAGTTACGGAGTTTATTATCCTCGTGGTACACCTCTAAAATCAATTTTTTATTGTAAGAGCCTTCCTTTCAGGTGAATCACGTTTTTATTCCCCCACAACTATGTGCCATGGGAAAATTAGTTTTCACGTTAAATTCACTTATATCGAACTTAAACATCGACAGAGGCTTATAAAAATAGCCAAAATGCAAAGTCCTTTTTGCCGGACTACTTCTATTCGAAGTAAAAAAGTTCCATTTACACACAACAACACCAAAATCACTCCGATCGGACCACATCTGCGCCCAGCGATGGCCTACCGAACTGCAATACTTGTATGACCGCAGACTTATGCTAGATGTTTTTTTTTAATTTTGTTTTTTTTTAATCGATAAATTTACATTTTTTAAATATTTAACTTCCTTTCAGGTGATCCATTGTTCAGGCTACCTAAAAATGAAACAATTCACCACCGGCACCGGCCCTTACGACCCCTGCTACCAGAATATGGGCCTCGTGGCAGTAGGCCACTCCTTACCTCCTAGTGCAATCACTGAAATCAAGTTACACACGAACATGTTCATGTTCAGGGCCAGCCTGGATCTGAAACTGATATTTTTGGACGCCAGGTACACACGATTTGCTTTTGTTTTAAATAAGGTAAAACTTTGTCGTCGCGCGATTGCCTCAGTGAAATAAAACAATTCTTTAAATCTCCCTTGCGTTTCCCTCGTGATCAGGTGCGTCCGTTCTCATATTAATCGATAGCAATGTAACAGAAAACCGCGGTATCGAGTGGCTTTTGTTTTAATTTATTTGAAAAAAACGCAGTGTGTTCAAACAAGCTACCAGCATGGGGTATGGAGTGGTAACTTAATACAAGTTGGGTTTGGAAGATTGTAATACGAGGGCCTTCCGAACTCAACTTGCAAGATATACAGGGGAAGCAAATAAAATTATTTTAGTCTTTTCCTAATTTAAATGATCATAGATCAGATAGATCACTTGATGCGAAGGTTGCTTTTGGGGGTATAAAAAGTGTGTCTCTCCACATTTATTATCAGGCGAAAACACCAACAAGAAGAACACCAACCCAACTGCACTGCGCCAAAAACTAGCGAGGCTTTCTTATTTAATTTTTTCAAATATACAACAGCTACTATCAACCATGAAATTGTTTTTACATAGTGGTTTAATATCAACAATAAAGTAATTCAATACCTTAGGGGATATTTATTTTTATTACTTTTTCTAGGGTGGCACAATTGACAGGATATGAGCCACAAGATCTTATAGAAAAAACGCTGTATCACTATGTCCACGGAAACGACATATTTGCACTGAGATTTTCTCATCACCAATGTAAGTACAAACTAATAAATGATATATCATTTATTATATTCGACATTATATTTGCGCTAAGAATAATATTGAACAAAATATACAGAGTACATAGTTTTTCCAATTTACCATAAGTGTTTTTCTAAGATATTTCTGTAAGTTTTCAATAGTAGATACAAGTGAAATAAAAAGCTAAATAAAATTGAATAAACAGAAGGTAAAGATATAAAGATATCAAACTAATTTATTAAATTTAGTTCAAATTTATATTATTTAAAGTAAATGAACTTTTTTGGGGACCCTGTGTCCCGAAAACGATTGAGATCTCGGAATAAATTTATAACAAACAATTTATGACCAACAACATATTTTAATTATTTATATCCTCAAACAATTTTATTATATTGATGGTAAATTTCGTTTTGTTCTGTTTCAAATGGTCTATAAAATGCCGTGTTGTAATAATATTTATAAACAAAATATCCCTCTTATTTTTCCATTTCGCAATTGCAATATGAATATAACATATTAAAATTACCTGAATCACACCAAATTCCACATTGCTGCACTACACTGCTAGGCAATTTGTTGACAACTGAATTTATGACCACGTGGCCCAGTGCCGCGTTTGCCCGCGCGCTAATTCTTCAACTGGGCGACCAGACCTGTATATGGGTACGGCTAAATAAATATGGGAACAAGTTTTTCAAATATTTCAATGCCGAGTTGCTGCGTCAGCGACCGAACCTGGTACATGCTGCCAAGCTTTTGGTTCTTCAATTGAGATCGGAAAGACTATACCATTACTTTTTGTAGTCCTAACCGCTTCCGAAGTCTGATCGATTAAAACTAAGCTACCTTTGATGATAATAATTGTAGGAACATTTCAATTAGGTCCAATATCTTTCAAAGTAAAAAAAAAGCTAATATTAAAAATACGTAATTAAAAAAAACAAATGAGAATCAATGTTCTTCCAAACTATAAGACGCAGTAGCTGCTGCCATTATAATTTGGGCTTACCTTTAAATCAATATCCTGCGCTACAAGATTTTCGTCTATAAATAACTCGGCAGCCGCACCCCCACCCCTCGACTGGGGGTGGTTAAACTGTATCAACACGGATAAGAGCGTNAATAATTTATAACCAACAACATATTTTAATTATTTATATCCTCAAACAATTTTATTATATTAAATTATTTATTATGGTAAATTTCGTTTTGTTATGTTTCAAAAGGTCTCCAAAATGCCGTGTTGTAATAATATTTATAAACAAAATATCCCTCTTATTTCTCCATTTCGCAAGTGCAATATAAATGATTATTAGAAGATGCCTATAACATATTAAAATTACCTGAATCACACCAAATTCCGCATTGCTGCACTGCACTGCTAGACAATTTGTCGACAACTGAATTTATGACCACGTGCCCAGTGCGGCTGTTTGTGCCGCGTTTGCCCGCGCGCTAATTCTTCAACTGGGCGACCAGACCTGTATATGGGTACGGCTAAATAAATATGGGAACAAGTTTTTCAAATATTTCAATGCCGAGTTGCTGCGTCAGCGACCGAACCTGGTACATGCTGCCAAGCTCTTGGTTCTTNGTGCCGCGTTTGCCCGCGCGCTAATTCTTCAACTGGGCGACCAGACCTGTATATGGGTACGGCTAAATAAATATGGGAACAAGTTTTTCAAATATTTCAGTGCCGAGTTGCTGCGTCAGCGACCGAACCTGGTACATGCTGCCAAGCTTTTGGTTCTTCAATTGAGATCGGAAAGACTATACCATTACTTTTTGTAGTCCTAACCGCTTCCGAAGTCTGATCGATTAAAACTAAGCTACCTTTGATGATAATAATTGTAGGAACATTTCAATTAGGTCCAATATCTTTCAAAGTAAAAAAAAAGCTAATATTAAAAATACGTAATTAAAAAAAACAAATGAGAATCAATGTTCTTCCAAACTATAAGACGCAGTAGCTGCTGCCATTATAATTTGGGCTTACCTTTAAATCAATATCCTGCGCTACAAGATTTTCGTCTATAAATAACTCGGCAGCCGCACCCCCACCCCTCGACTGGGGGTGGTTAAACTGTATCAACACGGATAAGAGCGTTTTAATCCACCATCGTGAAACTCCTCCATTAAGTGTTATTATAAGATTACGGCGTAAATTTGCTGAAAGTAAAAGTAATTATGATTATATTATTTCTTGCCAACTAGTAAGGCCGTAGCCCGGGCACGAGATTAAGGGAAGTTTTGATTGTTTTCGGAGCGTACGGCGACGATGGTTGGTCAATATTTTTGTTTCATTCTCTATTTTAAACGACTGGATGAAGGTTTATAGCACTTTCAATGTTTATTTTGTGTTTACCATATTATTATTGCCTTTCGCCGATACCGATGACGAGAATCAAGTCGATGCCAAAATATAAATTTTCTTAATATATGGTTTGTAGGCTTAATTGTGTCGTTACGTTTCGGGAAACATATCGTTACTGGAGATTAAGTCCTCTGGACGGTATTTATATTTGTTGTGCGTACATAGGCCAGTCAGTACCTTTCAGCGAGGCACCGGAAAAACAAATATAAATACCGGCCAGAGGACTTAATCTCGAAGTTCTGAAGACAACGATTATGTCCCTCGAAACATCAAAAAACCTAAATCGAGGATAGCAACTGTCGGTCTGCAGAATTTGGGAATCCCAGGATTAGATGGGATTCTCTATGTTTCGTGAAGTAAGCATTTTAAGATGAAAATGACCTTTTCTAAATTCTAACTGTACATTATTAGAATGAATTGATTCAATTTGTCAACATAAAATTTATTTACCAAACAGATTTGTAAATAGATAACGGAACGAGTATTATAACGCTTTTACCTAGGGAAAACCCAGAATATTTTAAAGTTTACGACAATTATAGGATTATAGAAAGCTTAAAGGTATTAACGTTAACTTTTACGTTCAAATAATTTCAAAATTGAAAAAAATATTTATTAACAATGAATTAAAATCCGGATTTATTAATAATTGACAAAAATTAAGTCAATAAGAAATGTTTTGTAATAGATAAACTATTGGAAACCATAACATTTCTCTTGTAGATGCTAATTCTTTTTTTTTTTTTTGTTTCAGTGTTACACAAAGGCCAAGTAACGTCAAAGTACTACAGGTTCCTCTGTAAGGGAGGTGGTTGGGTGTGGATGCAAAGCTACGCAACGATTGTCCATAATTCCAGATCCTCGAGACCACACTGTATCGTTTCCGTGAATTACGTCTTAAGGTAAACGAAATATTTTGCTCAAACAAACAAATATCAAATTTTAATTGCACGATTCTTTGCATGCTTAATGGTCGCAAACCTGATATTACGGAAATCAACTACTCTGCTGACTAATGCCCCGACTAGTATTGAATTACAACCGCAATATCTAGTAAATACCTAGGATTGTTCGTTATCCGAACCACCAGACGTATACCTTTTTTAAAATAAACTAATGCAAAAAATTAAAGGGTCAAAAGAATTTTCGAAATTTTTACGTCATTTTTGACAGATATTTAGATGAAACATGGTCGTATCGGGAATTAAAAAAAGCATTTTGAAGCTCTAAGATTCTAGTTTTTAGATCATTTGGTCGAAATTTTTTAGGAGCTACGATTATGCAATTCTCAAAAATAGCGCGACAAAAAAATGTTGCAAATTTTCTTTTTTTTTTTGAATCCACGGACTTGGAAAATTTTTTTTCTAAGCCAATGCATGGACTGGATAGCTTGTTTATTCAGCTTCAATTTCCTTTTTTTAAAATTTCGATACGACCATTTTTCATCGAAATATCGGATAAACTTTTTTTTGAGGTTTTCCCATATTTTTACCGCAAATAACGTAAAATAATAATAAATTGATAAAAAAAAATTTTTTCACAAAGTTTTAAAAAACTGTTTTTTAACTGATTACAGACTGCACAAAAATTTGTCTCAAAAAACAGTATGAATCGGGGTCGAAATCAGGTTTGGGTCAAATTTAATTTTAATTTAATTAAAAGTTGATGAACAGAAGCATTGGACGAAAAAGCCAAAGAGTGCTCGAAACAATTGAATTTTATTTTCTGCAATGTCTAGAAGGTTTTCCAAACAAAAACAAAAAAAAACTTCGAAAATCGAAAATATTTGCGAAAATTTTTCGATTTTTTTTATTTTTTCATCAATTTAAACGTTATTAGCGGAAAAAATGTGTGAAAACCTCAAAAATTTTAATCATGATTATGAAGTGTTTTAGTTCAAAAAGCGTGAACCTTTAATTTTTTTCAAAATGTTTGACTGTTTGAAACAAAGAAAGGGTTCGCTAGATCGACGTGAAACTTCACAGGGTTCTTCTGGGTATATCGAACTGTAAATGTCATGATTAACATTAGTCATTTCCTGAATATTTCTAATTTAGCCGTCAATTTTCTAAAAATAAATAAATTACCTTTTATTTCCTGTCTTTTTAAGATTCGTGTAAAAGATGAAAAAAAAATTCTCTGTACGACCATTTGTCGCCGAGATATCGATGACTGAAGACAAAAGAATCCTTTTCCATTAAAAATCCGATATTTCTATGAAAAATGGTCGTATCGAAATTAAAAAAAAAAAATTGAAGCTGAATAAACAAGTTATCTGGTCCATGCAATAGCTTAGCTGAAAAAAATTGTTCCAAGTCAATGAACTCCAAAAAAAAGAGAGAAAATTTGCAAAATTTTTTGTAGCGCTATTTCTTAGAATTGCATAACCGTAGCTTCTAAAAAATTTCGACCGAAAGATCTAAAAACTAGAATCTTAGAGCTTCAAAATGCTTTTTTTTTAATCCCCGATACGACCATTTTTCACATAAAGTACAGTCTGTCAAAAATCACGGAAAAATTTTGGAAATTCTTTTGACCCTTTAATTTTTTGCATTAGCAAGAACATTACAAGTAGAGTAATAAACACTTGTATTTGCTTCCCAGCGACTTCGAAGCCAAAGAACTTGTCCTCAACCTAACCCAAGGCGCCCCAAGGGAAGACCTTCCCAGCTCGCCGCAGTCGCCCCTACACACCCACACCCCAACGAGAACGCTACCATCACACCAGAAGTACCAGGCCTCGCACCCTCCCCGACTCCACGCGGCCGTGCTATCCCCGCAGACCTCTTCCATCACCGAGGACGACTTCAGCGACTCCAACGGCGCCGCAGCCGCCTACGGACCACCGGACTACCCCATTTTCCTCCACAACTACAACGAGGAGCCGTACTACCCCCACCAGGAAATGTTCTACGCCTACTCGGACGCGGAGATCAGCCAGCACCACCTGCTGAATCCCATGCAGCAGAGGCCATTCAGCGCGTCGTCTAGCTCCTGCAGTTCCTCGGAGAGCGAGCACCTCCAGTTGCAGAACTTGAACAGTAACGTGTATTGTGCGGATAGTATTCACGGGCATAACTTTAATGTCGGTTGTTTTAACAATAACCAGAACCACGCGCAGACTCAGAACTGGCACGGGCACGAATTCAAGCCCATGTCGCACCAGACGCATCCGGCAGGGTACACGAGTGTTATCGTGGATACGCAGCAGTACCAGTTGGCGAATGAGTACGTCCACTAGTACTAGCTGTGGAGTAGCTGTAGGTTGGCTTTGGTTCTGGCAGAACGGCATAGATAGAACCTCTTTCAAAGGCGTGACATCTAGTGGCAGTACCCTTCAAAAATACCGATTCTAATTGGAATTTGAAACTAAAATAACTGTTCTGGACTATACTAGGACTATGCCTTGACGGAACCAAAACCAGCCTTATAATTATTTGCTGGTTCAAATGTGAGGTAGAATAAAATGGTAGTTGGTATCGACACTGTCTTAAAAAGTACTACTTTTCCATTAATACGTACTACAGGTCCAATTTTTTTCAAAACATGGTGTATACAGTGGTTTCTATAACGATCATTGGTTTTCCCGAAATCTAGCACTTGGTAATCTAGATCGGCGAGCGGTGCACCCCTAAAAAGACGCACAATCGATTTTTTAAGTTCCCGAAATTTTGCAAATTTTTTGTTACTAACAAATTACTGACCATCGATACAGAAAAATGTCATTAAGGTTTTTTGTTCGCAACAACGTAATGTAGCGATTGGAAAAGGTTTCATCCTGGCCCCTATTCGTGGTCGGTCCACTTTGTGCGTCTTTTTAGGGGTCATCCCTTGCCTAAGGAGGCTGGAAATATTTCAAACATTGAATTGGTTGCGGTTAAAAATAGAACACTGTGGAGTTCCGTAAAATTATCAGTAAAAGTGCGGGAAACATCAATTCAGGCATCAATATTTAAAAGTTTTCAGATACAGCAAAAACCAACGCGTAGGCTTTCCAAGTATGTATATGTTATAATTTTAAATAGTTTTTCTAGGCTCAATATTTTTTTATTTTTACTTTTACTGACTAAAAAATTTCATCACAGTATAACATTTTTCGACGAAGTAGGAACTGCAAAAAGATTATGTCAATAGAAAAAATTAATAGCAGCAAAGTAAATATCAGTTAATTTTTTTTAATTCTTTGTTCTTATTCGAGATTTAATTTCAAATTCTATATTTTAAATTTTTTCAATGTTCTTGCAATACTAATTACAGTCACACAAAGAAAAGTTGTCTGTACTTTCTATGCGACATATGTTATTCGTAGTATTTTTGCCTCCTGATCATGAATCCGGTGTCAGAATTGAGCTATCACATCATAGGAATTTCCTAACCTCAAAAAACTGGTCAAAAATAGCAAAAATTCACAAAAAAGTGCTAGGAAAAATACAAAAATTTTTTTTCTATATCCAAATGTTCATTTATATGGTTAAGACTCAATTGAATGTGAATCCCAGGTCAGAATTGATAGCTCTTTTTCTAACATCCAAAAAAAAAACGGGTCAATTAAGGTCAGATATCACGAATGTTCAAAAAACTACAGATTCGCGCCAAATTTGGTATACGGGGGTTTTCGGGATTGCTGATCACGGATCCGATGTCAATTTTATAAAATTCATGATGGCGGATCCAAAATGTCAGACGAAATTTTCAAAAAAATAACAGATTCTCAGCAAACTTGGTATACGGGGGTTTTCGGGGTCGCTGATTACGTATTTGAGGTTAGAATTGCGAAATTCATTGTGATATATTTTTGTTTACTTTATACTGAGTACCCAATCATGTTTTAACCTTCTTTTTTTCGCTATCTTGTTCCTTTTCTGTAAAAGATCTATTCACGGGTTTTCTGACTAATTTCAGGTAATAAAGTACATAGGTAATTGATTAAATTTTTAAAAACGAATTTTATAAATCTGGAATTCGTAATCAGTGACCTCAAAAACTCCCGTATACCAAATTTGACGCGAATGTGTTATTTTTTGAAAATTTGGTCCGCCGCCATCTTGAATTTTGCAAAAATTGACCTCGGATCCGTGATCAGCGACCCCAAAAACCCCGGTATACCAAATTTGTCGCGATTTTGTTATTTTTTGAAAATTCATGATATCTGACAGACCTTAATTAACCCGTTCTTTTGAGGTTAGAAAAAGAACCATCAATTCTGACCTCGGATTCAAATTCGGCGGGGTCTTAACCATATAAAAGAATATTTGAATATAGAAAAATTTTGTATTTTTCCTAGCACTTTTTCGTGAATTTTTGCTATTTTTGACCAGTTTTTTGAGGTTAGGAAATTCCTGTGATGTGACAGCTCAATTCTGACACCGGATTCATGATCAGGAGGCAAAAATTCTACGGATAATATATGTCGCATGAAAAGTACAGACAACTTTTTGTTTTTTGTGTAGAAGTGTTATTTTTTTAATTTACATTGTCAAACGAAAAAAAATGTATGACCCTTCACTGCAAGTACAAAACACTATTTGTTTTATACCTCACGTCCGAATCAGCAAAATTATTTATTATGCACTTGAAAACGGTTTTGATGAAGCTACAAAATATATCAACAAGATGTTTTATATATATTTTTTAATGAAAATTTTCGTGTGATGTACTTAGTATTCATGTAAATATTTGCGAAATACGCCCTTGAGTTACGTGCCATAGATCACGAGTGGAAACATTGTAATTTATTATTGTAATTTTATTTTCCAAACAACGAAAACCTTATTTTACTTGGCATGTTCTTCATTTTAATGTATGTAGATATATCCGCAGATGTACTTAATTTCTTTTTACCACACTGTATATTTTTTTCTTTAATTATATAGATATGACAATAATTTTTGACTGTGAATATAGCTGTAAATATTGTAATGTAAAATATTCATCATGAATGATATTTAATTATTATATCCAACCGTAATAAAAGAGTTGCTGTTATTTTCAGATGGAGTCTTATTTTCCAGTACCTACTCACCAAGTAACCCATCCTCGTATATTCTAGAACAATAATACTGTTGAAAATTCCTGTTCCAGGTTAATAAATGTTTCGGACTGACAATTTTTAGCGCCAAAAAAGATAAGCAAATGAAATTTTACACTTTTATTTATGTATTTCTGTTCGTCCTTTCTAAGGCAACAGGAAAAAATTGATAAGTGTGAACTTTGAAATTTGGACTTTTTTACATACGTATAAACGTCTCTTACGTTTTTTTTTTATTTAAAACTACCTATTTTCAAGTATAAATTTAAACTTTGCTAGCCTGAACGAGAAAAACAAAATTTTGTTAGACTATTTTTTGTTAGGCAACAATTAATTCAAAAGGTGTTTCTAGTCTATAAGTATAATTTAAAAGTTCTGTTTATAAATAAGTGAAACACTATCGCACCAAGAAAGGGGATTCCTCCCGTTTTATCCATTTCTGAACACATATTTTAATGAATTTAAGATTTTACTTGAAATTCGTAGCAAATTTCACAATAGATAAAATTAAAAAAAAACAGTGTTATGAAAAATACTCGAAAAAATGTAAATAGTCATGGGCGTAGGCACCCAAAAGTTATGAGATATTCAGAAGGTGGGGGGACTCCCAAATAATACCACCCTGTATGTTATTTTCTTTCATATTCAAGGAATATAAAACATTCAAATAAACAACATACATATAACAAATAAGAAGTTCGTAGCTAAAACAGTTTTAGTGCTATAGGTAGGTATTAAAAAATGTTTCGAGATTCCATATGGAGCTCAGTAGGCGTTGATATATATTTTTGCATCGAATTTTAAAATCAACCGGTATAGTTGTTACGATGTCAATTGGAACCTGTAAATCTTAAAGCACAGGACCGTATGCACTTCTTCTAAAATTTCTTCTTATGCTTTGACCATGATGTGTCTCGTACTTTATACTCGAATAGCAATTCGGCAAGTCCGCCTGATGTAGAATTCCAGAATTGCCGTGCAGAGCATTGCTTGGCGGGGTATGTTGTTGGTATAATACGTATTATTATTTATTACTTGTTCATATCGTAACCAGTAAAGGGTAATAGTTATTAAAATAAATGTTATATGTAATTATCTAGTAATTTAGCGTGGCTCTCTGGACACTCTTTGAAGCGGAGGATAACGAAATAACTCGGGAAAATCCCCAAATAGTGGAACCGGTGGTTGTCGAAAGTAACGAAACAAACTCATAGTTTAAAAACAAAGATTTACACGTAAAAAGTCAACGTACTATATTAAATATATATAAATATTTCAAAATTGATAATAGTGAACAATGTGATAAAAAAGTTAGAAACGGATTAACGAATTAACTAAGATATCCAAAAAAGGCCAATTTATTGCGTAATTAAAGAAGAGTTGATCACGGTACAAAGAGAAAACGGAAGGATACAAAATTAAAGAAAATTTACTATTTTACCAGATGTAATGCGGCGCACAATTTATAATATGTATAAAGAATACTAGCTTTTACCCGCGGCTTCGCTCGCAGAGTGATAGAAAATCTTTCGTAAAAAATATTTTTTTTAATAAAAAGTATCCTATGTTACTTCTAATACCTCCAAGAATATGTGTACAAAGTTTCATGATGATCGGTTAAGTAGTTTTCGTTTGAAAGCGTAACAAACAAACTTACATTCACATTTATAATATGTAAAAAGAAAATAATGTTCCTACTTTAAACATGATTCGAGATAAATTAAGCGATTATCCTGATTATAATTATAAATCTTTAGATATTTTACGACAAGCTTTATTACAATGAGATTTTAAACATAAAAAACTTGACAATCGTATGGTAATTATATGGTAATATAGCTCGGAATATAATATATCTAGACGAGACAGGGCTAAATTTTTCTGGACGTCTTTGGATTCCGTAGAATTTATGAGTTAAATGTTTTTATGCGGTTCCAATTGAGATCGTAACAACTATACAAGAACGGTTTTTTTTCATAATTTTTTTAATATTTTTAATTACGAACGCTACAGATATCTGGAAATTAAAGTAAAAAATGTATTTCTTTTGCTGATATTATTTCGGCTACAATTTTTTCCGTTATAAGATTTTTTTAAATTTGATGTACCTATCTACTAATAATACTAATAAACATTTCTTATCAATTTCAAAATTAAGCAATTTATTTTAACAAGAAATTAAAAGCTTTAAAAAACCACAAATAAAAAAAGTTCGATTTCATTGTCAATAAAGATCATTTTAACCTTTAGGGCTTCAGGATATTGATGAATTTTTTTCATAAGTGCAATTTCATATCGATATTAAGTGTATCAAATCTGAAAAAAAATGCTAGACTAAAAAAATCTTACGGAAAACCATTAAGTAACTGAAAAAAAATTATTTATAGGTTATCTTTTTCAAAAAGTGTCATAAGCCCTCGCATCATTTTTTTTTATGAGCAAAATCGTGTGAACATCGCTCGTTATTTTGGTTCATTTATAGTTTCCGGACATTCTATATTTTTACTAATATTTGCGATTTGAGCACCTCCAAAAATTTAGAAGTTAGTGATAAAATTTGGGGGATGACATTTTTTAATAGGGACAATTTTTTCATAAATAACTTATTCCAAAATACACTCCAGTGGCGTAGTTATTGGGGGAGTAGGGGACCATTTTTGAAAAAAATCGTACGCCACTGGTTTTTTAAATCATTTTAAATATTACAAATTGATTGTAGATGTTAAAAACATTTTGCCAAATTTTATGACTCGATCCTTTATATTACCGACCTGGTGAGGACTAAACAATGTGGCAACAACCGTAAAAAACAGCTTTCTTCTTGTCTTACGCACTCTGCGTTGTAAACACCTAGTATTTTCGAAATTATGAAATATTAATTTCCCAATAAATGATAATCTAATACCACTTACATGCCTGTTTCCTAACAATTAGGGACCGTCCTAGCCGTTGGCTGCCCTAAAGGAAAACCTCCAATCAAGCGGACAAAAGGGCTCGGACTAATTGGTTTAGTTTAGTTGACTGGAAGTCGGGCAAGTGTGATGGGATAACAATATGGAGCGGCGCTACCCTTACAATGGGCGTGCGGGTCATTAGGAATGACCCCCGTGGCGTGGCGGATGACTTCCTTCTGATTTAACCTGTAATTATTTTGTTTGGTGGCACGTGAGCCATAATCGAACGGTGTGGATGGGAAAATTGCGGGAAGAATAGGAGTTGATACGCCACGGATGTAACAGAGGGGAGATTTTGACTTCTTTATTTTACTGGTATTTAAAAAGAACGTCTCTAAGCCTCAGCAGCGGCAATAAAAGTACATATACTTATTTTAGAACATCTAGTATTTATTTGTAATTTGCATAATTATGTATGTGGAGACACCACTGATCTTTTTCAAATTTCAAAAAACTTGCTAAAGTTGTTTATGTAAAGATCGTAGTAGGCTGGGTCTGTGTAGACACCACAGAAAATATCTAATTCTGTGTATTTGAATGTTTTATATCTAGTATCTAGATAGTAAATGTGCACATTTTAAATTATTCTAAAAGACTTCACATGTTATACATTTGCAGTTAATTTCCACTTTTCCAAACACTAAGTATACTTAAACTATTTTGAGAAATAGAAGTAGGTAGGTACTCACTGATTGTCTGCATTTGGAATTTTCTTGTTCTTTCTCAAAGCAGTCAACTCGACAACCAAACACTTTTACAGTTTGTATAACAAGAAGCACTTTTCTCCTTTTCTCGAGTTTCTCACGGTAAAGCATAATAAATAATTAAACAAATTGTACATAAAACAACGCGTAATCACTTCATAATATGATTTTAATATGAAACACGAAAACGAAATCACCATCAACAATAACAAACAATATCAACAATCAACTGTCGACAAACAACAAACTATTGAGCATGCGCAATACTTCCCTAACGAGAAGCTGAATCCAATCATTTCCTAAGGAGCATTTATATAAAGGTCATTACTGCAGATAGTATCCAGATCCAGAATAGGTTCCAAAATAAGTAAGCTGGGACCAATTATGAATGCGGTAAAACCAAAACCTCTTCACTATGGTTTTTTAATTTACGTTAATTATTGCAATTGACATTAATAAATGTTACTTGTAATTTCTAATTTTCAAATTATAAATTCATTTGTACTCATGATAATGTGTTCTTAACTCTGCCTAGGGTGTTCATAATGTCCTACGGTCATATTTCTCATGGAATATGTATTTCAAAATAGTGACTATACCAAATAACAGACTCGGACATTAAGGTTTAAGTATGGTTTATGTCAATGACAATATTGATAAGAGGGAAGAATAATTTTTGAAAAACGGTACCTACACTATTTTTTCGATATTTTTCTCTATATTTTTTTAACGGATAGCTCAAACAAAAATGGTTTACAAAAAGCCAATATATATTTGCCATGTACAAAATTTCAATTTGTTTTTTTTTTTAGTCGACAATATTGACTATGTCACATTGTTACCGAACTAATTACGATACTCGAACTTCGTATAAACCTAAAAAAACAACAATGCCGCTGAAAACGCCGATGCATTTTATAGCTAATAGAGGGTGGAAACCTTTTGTGCTGAAGAGTACTCCATACACAAAGAAGCGCTTTGCCAAACCGTACTAGTAATTGGTATCAAATCTTTATACAAACATATCAGATATGGCCATGGAAAACTGAAGCGAGCGTGTGCCGTCTCCTTGGAAACGGAGGGGTGGCTCCAACCCACCCCCATCGAATCGTCATTACCGACTGTTTTACAGCCCCGTTCCTGCAGATTTTATACGGAGTGTCCCGTTTTGCTACTGTAAAGCAGGTGCGTAACTAAGGGTGGGCCAAGATGATCCATAGCCCAACTACAAATGCTGTACCACTCTGGGGTTTTCAAATAAACTGAAGGACTTTTCGGTTATTTTGAAAATTGTCCTTTGACCATCGCCGAGTAGCTTTTAGCCATTAGATAAGTTTGTAGGTTCTCGAGATATGTCGAAGTATTTTCAGGTATTTTGACATAATAATGATAATAATAAATAATAATGCTTATTCTCATCTTGGAATAAAATAAATTATAATAAAAAAAACAAGAACATTTTCAACAAATTGCAGAAAACAGAAGTGTTACTCATATGTTTTGTGATCTCACAATATACCAAAGAAAATCTCTAAAATTAGAGGGTCTTTCGATTTGGTAAAAATAGTAGTATTAGCAGCCAATGGCAATTCAAAGTTACTCTGAAGATGCCAAATAATACTGTCACTAAGAAGATATTACATAATTTTTTTTAAACAAAAGGGATTTCGTTTTTAAAATTTTTACATGCTCGGGAAAATAGATTCAATGCCGTGAAAAACATACTGTCAAGTAAGTATAATTTTAAATGCATTTATGTTAGTTTAATGCTTTGTGTTTACTTATTTATTTTGTCTAGATTTAAAATTGTAAAATGTACTTCGACATATTTCATTGATTTCCATTAAATCCATAGAGAAATTAAATATCTCACTATCTCCATGAAAATTACGCGTTGACCCGTTGACCATAGAAAATATAGTACTATATTTTCTATGCCCTTTGACTGAAATATNTAACCTTGAATTTGACATTAAAAAATAAAGCAACCGAATGTAAAATTTCTCCATCTTTCAGAATCTGAGAACAAAAATTTTATTATAATAAAAAAAACAAGAAAATTTTGAACAAATTGCAAAAAACAGAAGTGTTGCTCATATGTGTTTGTGGCCTCACAATATACCAAAAAAATCTCTAAAATTAGAGGGTCTTTCGATTTGGCAAAAATAGTACTATTAGCAGTTAAGTGCCGAATTCAGAGTTACTCTGAAGATCCCAAACAATACATTCAAAAAGAAGAAATTACATAATTTTTTTAAGCAAAAGGGATTCAGTTTTGTAATTTGTGTAATTTTAAATACATTTATATTAATTTCATGTTTTGTGTTTACTTATTTATTTTTTATTGCATGGATTAATTATTTCTCCAAAAACTTATTGTCTTCATTCATTTTTTCAATCTATAAAATAGATTTAAAATTGTAAAATGTACTTCGACTTATTTCATTGGTTTCCAATAAATCCATTGTGAAATTAAATATCTCACTATCTCCATGAAAATTACGCATTGACTGAAATATTATGTATTGTATTCACCACAGAGCTATTCACCGATTGTATTCAATTAACTTGTTTTTCTTACAAATCGGACGAAAACAGCGCCATCTCTTGGTTGCTTATTATTGCAGAATCTATTTACGTTTTGGTATTATAGTATTTGATATAATGAGAATTCGGTAAAGAAGCGTCATCACTTTCCTGTCATTCTCAAATTATCAAATTATTGACAGATTTAGGTTGTTTGTGGTTAATGTTTGTTGATAAACCATTAACTTTTTTGCACTTCCCAATTCTAAAAATGTTTATGGGTTAATTTCAAAATCTTGAAAGAGATATATCTGAATGCTAACTAAATTTTTATTATAATTGAAGGATATGTTATATAACTTCCGTATAGGGTAGTCCAATAATGTCCAAAACTCGAATGCGCCCTATTTTCGGGCAGACCCCTTCGTGCTCTATAAAGCATAGACTCGAAGAAAGAAGAAATAGAATAAAAGCTTTAAAGTTAGAGCAAAGTAGGAAGCCTGACAAACCCGAAGACTTCATCACATATGAAGACAGCGATAGTGAAGAAGAGCCAGCTTCTGTAGAGAACGAAATACTACATACTTCATATAATTTTGTGGATTATGTACGCAACAGGGAAATACAGAACTCGAAGATTTCCTCTATAGGAGGGGATTACGGGAGTCGGCACATCTTGACCCACGAAATGTTCAAAGAAACAGCTATAAGTTTAGGTAATATGAATAAAGTGTTCTGTTCACAGTGGTTAAGTGACCGTCAGGTAGTTTTTGGGACAAAATGCAACAAGGTAATAATGATCGACCAAGTATATAATCCATACGACTAAAATTATGATTTTAGTTAATGGTATATGATGTCGTAACACACAAGATAGATCAAATACCTTCTTTATTAAGCAAACGAGATATTTTGGGTAACGAGCAACAGCAATGTGGCATCCACTCTGTACAAATCAACCCTTCTAGAACATTATTAGCTACAGGCGCCCGTAACACTTGTGATATAGCTATTTATAGGTTGCCAACATTGGACCCTGTATGTGTTGGCGAAAATGCTCATAGAGACTGGGTACGGTTATACTAGATTTGTTTTGCATTTGTGAAAATAAAGTGCTATTTTTTAGGTCTTCGATATGTGTTGGTTAGATGACGAGTTTTTAGTTTCTGGTTCGAGAGACACTAAAATGGCTCTGTGGAGAATTACTCCGGATATGTTAGAAAATAAACAAGAAGTTCCTAGACATCGGCATATATCTGCCATATCTGTCAAAGATTGTCAAAATTCTCAAAAGGTACAGAAGGGAATTGTAAATAATTATAGCCTCTTTGACTTATTTGCACTGACTGTGCATTGAAAATGAGCTTAGAGAAATACTTCACAGATTATCATTTTTTAGGTTAGGGCGTTGACTTTTAATAAAAGATATGAAGAAATAGCGGCGTTAAGTCTAAATGGTTACATCCATATTTGGAACGCAGAAACATTCAAACAGAAATTATCGAGGAAATTGCCCTCTTCTCAGGAAAATGTCTGTTTAGCTGTACAAGACTCAGGATTATACGCTATCGGTTGTAGATCATATACCTTGCTGTTAGACTGTCGAACTTTGCAGGTAGACTTCATTAACTTTTAAAATTTCATATGTGTATAGTAAAAATCGATGTCGTAGGCTGTGAGGAAGGTGTCGTCTAGGTATTCCGGATGCGGAATACGATCAGCCAGCTTTCAGGGAGATGTCCTTACGGTAGGTACCGGTTTGGGTACGCTGATGTTCTATGACCTTAAAGCCGGTAAATACCTGGAATCTAGCATAAATTCGTCGAGGACGGTCGTACTTAAAGCAAGTAAAGGTTACGTGGTAAGTACAAGATAAATTTTAAAATTTACTTAACTTCTATAGTTCATAAATTACGATGTTATTTACAATAGAGTTTTTGTGACAAGAAGTTTTTTTTTAGTTTCCAGATGAGGAGTTTGTCGACAACATACAAAATATAAAATACGTTCCTGCGATCTACACACATTGCTACGACACCAGCGGCACTAGATTATTCACGGCAGGCGGGCCTCTACCCGCCACATTAACGGGCAACTACGCGGGTCTATGGCAGTGAAATTAGGTGATTTTAATTATGATTGCGAATGGAATTCGGTTGGTTTCTTACGTACCACGAGTGAAGCGTGAATGATTGTAGTAAGCAGAGCATTTATTAATTTGTACAGTACGATAACAGATTTATATGACAGACCTGAAAAAAGATTTGTGGCCACCGATTTCTTCCAGCTACTGATTATATGCACAAAAAGTGTAAGTTGACAAAATTTTGAAAGCTTTTATGAAAATTTTTAGTAACGCTCAACATATGTTTTTTCTTATTAAATAAAAATGTAATTTCTCAAGCTCAGCATAAATTATAGTTTTAAAAATTACTTACGGGACGATTTTCGTAAGCAGGGCCCAAACTTTGATGATTATAGAAAAGATCGTAATGAAAATCGGTTGAGAGAAATTTAAAATTTGTTTTTATATATTTTGTATAATATTGTTCAAAAACATGAAAATGCGACATTGATTCTTTCTACAACAATGAGAGTATTCCTACAATTTGTAAATTTTCTAAAATTATCACACATTTTACATGATTCAGACTTATTTGTGTGATAATTTGCTACAATTGTATGGATATTCATGACAGTTTCTTTTCCGTAAGAAAAAATTGTGTAAATATTTGAATAGAACACTATATTTCAGATAAAAAGAAAAGCTTTCGTCATAAGTATGAATTTGCGTATTAGAAAAAATATCGGAAATATCCTACATAAAAAAAAATAACATTTTGATACTATCATGAAAAATATAATATATACAAATCTTAGTTTTTGGAAACAAATTTTTTTCCTGTATAAATATATTTAAAAAATTTTAGAATCTTTTATTAATTTCAGTTTGTGAGGAATAATTTTTTATTTTTTGCCACTTTACCAAATTTTTTTTTTCCAACACTCGTTTCTTTCTACTTGTTGCAAACTTTTTGTCGATACGTGTTGCTACTGTTATCTTATAAAATCAAATAAATATTTGAAGGAAAATAATCGTTGCCACCATACTTTTTGAGTTACGGTATACACATTTTTTTTTACCATGCTTCTATTTTCGTTTTTGAGAGATTGACGTGATTTTTTTATTATTAATCTTAGTTTAAAGCCACGGGAAAAAATCTGCAATATTTGTGAGGTTTTAATTATAAACTTCCAGCAATGAAAATTAATTTGTAATGAATCGACTGCAAAATGTGAAAAATTTTGTGATAGCTTGTAAAAATCCATATATAGGGTGTCCCGAAATTTATACAACAAAATTTGGTCATAGATTCTTAAGACAAATTTAGGGGACCCGTATTTTTTCATTTTGCCAACTAGCCCCCTCTTTCGGGGGCCAGTTGGCCTAAGAAGTCTTTTTTATATCTCACAACCAAGTTGTCCGAGAAACGTTAAATTTGGTACACAGAGATTTTGTGACATGTGGAATCTCACAGTGCTACGCTTTTTGGCGAGAAACCCCCTTAAGACACTTTTTTGTGGGCCCCTTTGTCTTTGGAACCAGAAAAATTTGGTTGAAAATTTGATTTATTTTTAAATTATTAGCTAGGAACCCATTGAATTTAGAAACTTTTTTGTCTCTTGATATTTTTTTCATAAAACGCAATGTTTTTGAGGAAAATGGCGATATGCATTCAATCACATTTTGACATTTTTTTCGAAAACATTGCGTTTTACGAAAACAGTATAGAGACAAAAAGTTTCTAAATTTAATGGCTTTCTAGTGGACTAATAATTTTTAAGAAATTTAAATATGCGACCAAATGTTTTTGGTTCCAAAGACAAGGGGGCCCACAAAGAATTGTCTTAAGGGGGTTCCCCGCCAAAAAAACATGGCACCATCAGATTCCACGTCATAAAACCCCTACTGTGTACCAAATTTAGTGATTCTCATACAACGGGGTCCTGAGATATAAAAAAAAGATTATTCTTAGGGGGCGGATTTCAGGGGGCTGTAACTCCGAAAGAGGGGGCTACTTGGCAAAAATAAAAAATTCGGGTCCCCTAAATTTGTCTTAAGAATCTGCGATCAAATTTTGTTGCATTAATTTCGGGACACCCTGTATACAGAGTGTTCTAATTAAGGGCTAACCACTCTCTAACTTTTTTAATTACCGACTAATTTTAACGAACTTTTTTGTGTTCCCTTTTCGGGTTTTCGAATAGAACTGACGTTTCATTTAAATTTTAAAACCTCAGAACTAATTTTATGAATCTAATATAAAACACATTAGTCAATTTTAAATGTGATTCTTGTTGGATTAGTTGGAACAAATATTAGCCCTGAACAAGCTATAAAAATAAAAGGAAACGTCGACTAAATTTTAAAATCCACAGGAGCAGTATCTTGTCTGACCAAATAAAAGTAGAAAGTCGAATGTGTGTTCCGTTCCATTCATTGTTTAACTTGGATAAGATTAAAAAAAAATGTTTTTGAATTCGCTCGAATTATTTTAATAATAATATCTCTCAAATAAGTTAACAAAAAAAAGCTCGTTTAAATCAGTCGATTAAGAGGGCTCTATAGCGAATAGGCAACCAGCAACACATTTTTATAGATTTTATTACAGTTTGTCTAAATACGAATCAATGCACAAATAACAGACTTTTCTCCATTCTAACGCAGATTTGCTATAAAATGGAGCAAGTTTGAAAGTTAAATTACTTTTTGTTGTCAAGAAATTTGTAATTTGAATCGTAAATTACAAATTTCTTTACACCAAAGAGTAATTTGGGTTTCAAACTCACTCCATTTTATAGGAAATCTGCGTTAGAATGGTGGAAAGTCTGTTATTTGTGCATGGAGTCATATTTAGACGAACTGTGTAATAAAATCTATGAAAATGTATTGCTGGTTGCCTATTTGCTATAGAGCCCTCTCAATAAAATTGTTATGGCTGCGGTCAATCTTTATACATCTGTATTTTTTATTTGAAGCAAATATTTTCATTTTGCCATGAATTTTTTATTTTTAATTACATTAGATATGGATTTTTATAAGTCCTTGAGGTGTACGAGCCACTTTATTTCATTACCACCAACGGGTACAAAACTTTTTTCAGGTTGATTTAAGTTTCACAAAGTACGTTGTAGATAAATTATTTATGTTTATTTAACTGTCTTGTGGCAATTTTTTTTATTCCGTTCAGTCGAGATTGTAGGAAGTATTTTTCTATCTTTCCGTGCAATTTTTAAAGACATTGATTTTTTTGGATGTTTAGAATAAAGGTGACAGTGTATTTTACAGGGTCTTTTCTTTTCAAACGGCAGGAAAACTCCGAAAACCTATTTCTAATAGTACTGAAGTAGTCTTGGTAGAGACGAAACGTCGACATTACAAAAATTCCTTTTTTACGTTTTTACGTTAAAATCTGGGATTTTTTAATTTTGCAGAATCAAATAAAACAGCTATTAAGAAACTTCTATATTTCCATCTATTCTATATACAGTATGGTACACGATAAACATCCACTAACTTAATAAGCTCATGATTTCCAAAAATTAATTGATGCAATTAATAATAGGGCCTCCTCGGGTTGTTCTGTAAACAAACAAAAAAATAAAATGGAAAATCGACCGTGTGGAATTCAAAATTTGTTTACCAAGGGATTCGGCCGGAACCTGTACGCCAACATCATTCTCTTCCTATACGATTCGTATTCGTCCTCGTCTTCATCGACCTGGTTTAACCCCAAGCCTTGCGTATGCTCGCGAGGAGGCGCCCTATAAAATAAAAAATTAGATGGTTCGATTTTTCGAAATTTACGCTTCGTTTTTTCAGTATTTAAAAAAAAAAAACATTTCTGACCGTTCTTACCACACTTACTTGTTTATCGGTTCTACGATTCCGCTGCCGCTCGAACCGAGTCCCTCTCCCTCGGACCACCCGAGCTTCTGGAGCATTTTGAACCCGATATTATCCTCCTTTATCTTGAATTCCTTGTAATCCGAAAAGTTCGGCAGACGGCCCTCCTTGACGGCGGTGGATTTCTCCATGAACCGTTTAAGTTCCTCGGGAGGCAAGAAGTCGCCTATGTGGTGCTTGCCCTCCGCCTGACGGGTCAGCTCTTGCGCCCACAGCTGGGTCGCCATCATTTCCTACGTAAAACGGAGCAATAGAAAATAAAATCAAAAACCCCTCTAATAAACCAGAATCGTATGTTCGAGATTTCGATTCATTTTAATATTTCTGGGACTAAAAAATGCAGAAAGTTAAAACTGTCAAATATATAAAAAGTATTTGTTACTATTCCGCTAAAGCACTGTGTTCGGTCTGTGAATCTAAGGGTCAATGACCTCTGAACTAAGTAATATCGATCCACCTGATGCGATATAAAAAATAAATGGCAACTTTCATTTATTTTAGTTTTGGGGTTATCAATTTATAAAAAGACGTTTAAATTGTCAATTAATACAATAGTGAGGACCGACCCGATTCACCTGTACGGTAATATAAAAGCACTTTATGACGATCTCCGAAAAAAATTCGCTCACCTTTTCTCTCAATTTGTGCTCCCAGGTGCCCCCGTCGGTTTCCTCGTCAGAATCGTAGTCGTACTTGTTCTGCCCGGCCAACTTGAGGCGTTCCACCTCCTCCCTTTTCTTCACCATGTCCTGGTAGAGCAAGTTTATCTTGTAGTGGTCTTCCGCCTTTTTCCAGTCTTCCTCGGTTAAATTGGTGGAGCCGTACGTGTTCATCGCGTACTGGAGTAAACCCGGGTCGGAACGTGTAACCTTGGAAAGCATAACGGACCCCTGATCTGAAATAAGGTTTCGTGAAGTTTTCGTTATTAACCTGCATCCCGTATTCTTCCTATCTGTAGCTTCACGATCCGATGATATATTACTCTCTGTTTACACACACGCACTGGACATAAAAATTGGACGTTATAAAAATACCCAGTTTGGCAGCTGTAACAGTCGATTTCTGTGATGAATTTGACTGTCAGTATGTCTTTTACACTGATTGGCACTTCAGCCCAACAAAGTGGTTTCACAAATATAAATTTCCTTTATATATTTAAATATTTATGAATTTAATAAGCATATTATGTCAAATGATTCTTTAGATATTGTCCTGTATCAACGTATCATACATAGTTGAGTCAAGATAGCTTAAAATTACGCATTATTTCGAAATGATTATGGGAAGCATGGATTTTTCTAAAACCTTTTGAAATTACTTGGAGATAAGTATTAGAAAAAAGTTATAAACTTATTTTTGTACACTAATTGTTTTTTAATTGCTTAAATAATAATAAATAGTTTTTTTAAGGGCATTTAAAATAATTCAATGAATTTTAAATCGAATTCTTTCAAATTGACAATACAGGGGTTTTCGATGTCGCTGAACAAGAATATGAAGTCGGAAAATTAAAATTCAAAATGGCTGATCCAATATGGCCGACTATTTTAGACAATTTATTTAACAATTATCGATTTTAAATCAAACTCGCTTATATT